TCTCACCAGGGCATTAATGATTCATAATGACCTTCTCACCTGGGCATTGGTGATTCATAATGACCTTCTAACCAGGGCATTAGTGATTCATAATAACCTTCTAAGCAGGGCATCAGTGATTCATAATGACCTTCCTGCCAGAGCATTAATGATTCATAATGACCTCACCTGGGCATTAGTGATTCATAATGACTACTCTCAACCATTAGTACTGTACACTGACATGAACTTACATGAATGAACCATTGAAATGACAAAATCATTTTCATTTTGATCACTGATAGTGACTAGATCACCCCCAAGTTGACGACAAGTATCTCGAGAATCTAACCAAACCATATGCGTATACATTAAAATATAGCAAGAACTGCGATAAGACGTCCAACCATTCTGACATCTGGATCCTGGTGCTAAGGTGGTTGTAGTCTCGGGTTCAGGAAATGATACTGAAACAAAAATACAGAAAGATATGCATGAAAACAAATGTAGATAGTTAGTTAAATGTCAACAAATCCAAAAAACTAACTCACACACATACATCTACTATTTTAATCTCTATTTCTGCTATCTTTGAATAAAAATGGTCAAAGCATGTAAAGATTATAATTTTAGATTCACATTTACACAAGATCTGAAAGTCCAACAAAACCGGAATGAAATACCATGTGTGGGAGGTACATATGTCAGAAATGTGACTACCGTAAAAATCATATTTGAGGCAGCAGCTTTAATAGAAGCCACACCCCTAACTTGAGACATTGTTTCATGTTGAAATTGACAAGTTTTGATCCCAGGAAAAAGCCTGCAATATAAGCCGCACCCCAAACTTTCACAAACCAAACAGCCACCACATATTTCAGAAAAAGATATACCATTTAATTTTAAATTAAGGCATAATTTTTCGAACATTTCAGCTTGGTAGATCCATGTCATTATAGTCTAAGAGAATTAACACAGATTTTAAGATTGATTTATAATAATAATATAAACAAAATGATATATTACATACCTACTTCATAATAATCATAGGGATCATTTGGATACGTTGATAGAGAACCATCTTGGAGATTGCTTGTATATAAATTACATGCCAAATTAACTTTATCGTAATCAAATGATTTACAGGCTCGGCCGGGGTCATAGGCGCATACGTCAGCACAATAATCAGGATATACGCCTTCAATGTTTTCTATTATATTGTCAGATGCTAGTGCTGAGTCATGGTACACATTAAAGTAGTCAATAAGAGACCCTGAAAATAAAGAAGGAAGTTTACACCAAATTCAAATTTGTATGCATATAGAACATGGCTGATGTGGGAGAATTCCCACTTCAAGAAATGGAAAACTACCATCTCATGTAAAGCAAAGTAAATGTCAACTTTGCTGGATATAATGAAAAAACATAATACACAAAAACCAATGCAAAAACCATAGTAAGGTGGCAAAAACAACATTCTTTGGACTACCACAGTTCCTTCCTTTGGTTAGTTACCCCATATTTTTTAAACACCCACAGGTCATATTGGGTCGGAGTAGGTCACATAGTATGTCAGACTGGGTCACATATTAGGTTATATTAGGTCAGAATGGGTCATATAGTAGATCAAAGTGGGTAACATAGTAGGTCATATTGGGTCACATAGGTCATATTGGGTCAGAGTGGGTCACATAGTAGGTCATATTGGCTTACAGTGGGTCACATAGTAGTCATATTGGCTCAGAGTGGGTCACATAATAGGTCTTATTGGCTCAGAGTGGGTAACATATTAGGTCATATTGGGTCACATGTTAGGTCAGAGTGGGTCACATTGGTCATATTGGGTTAGAGTGGGTCACATATTAGGTCAGAGTGGGTCACATAAGTCATATTAGGTCAGAGTGGGTCATGTAGGTCATATTGGGTCAGAGTGGGTCACGTAATAGGTCATATTGGGTCAGAGTAGGTCACACGGTAGGTCACATTATGTCAGAGTGGGTCACATAGTAGGTCATATTGGGTCAGAATGGGGTCACATAGTAGGTCATATTGGGTCACATAGTAGGCCATATTAGGTCAGAGTAGGTCACATTAGGTCAGAGTGGGTCACAGTAGGTCATATTGGGTCTGATTGTAGTTAGTATTTTCTGTGAGCCACATAATTGTTGTCATTTTTAAAATCAATTTTTACCTTTGTTTTCACAAATATATCCTATTTTGTTTGTACTACAGTCATGATCATTCCAAAGACCATTAACAACAACTATCTCAGTGCAGTCCTCAGCAAGATTGTAATCATTTGGTTCATCTGAAAATAAAAGAATTGTTGATATGAACTCTTTGAAATGCAACCCTAGCAGCTAATCCTGAGCAATAGTGCTATTAATATAGCCCTGATTATCAAGGTGACACGATCAAGGCAAAATTCTGAGTGCCGACATTACAGG